ATATATATACTTAGTTAGCTAAGTAAACAGAATACACATGAGATAACATGATAATAAAGTTGACATTACAATAGTTCAGCCACTGTTTGAGAAACAATGCCATAAAAATTTAAAGATGAGCTAGGAGGTTATGAAGAGAAAAAGACTGATGTAGTAGATTGGACCTACAGTAAATTCCTATGAATTTATAGTAAACCTATCCATATCCTACTATGACATTATTCATTGAAATTCTCTTCTAGATATAAACACCATGCTTTGAAAATGAAATTTAAAGCAAACCAGATAAAAAGTGATCCTTTAAATGACTTTGCCTTAGGCTGCAAATGAACTTGGGAGCCATTCTATGTTCCCAAACTCCAGGTTTAGACAAACATTTTTCAGATACTTCTCAGACACTCTGTCTCTTCCAGGGTCTAATAAAAGTCACTTTCATGACATTTATAAATCAGTAATTAGAACGTGGCTTTTGCTGTCTGCTGCTGACTTTATCAGATGGTTCTAGGGTTCTAATCCTTCACATACACTGATTGGTTATCATATTTGGGGAAAGCTACTTAAGTTTCTAAAAATAGATATAATCTTGTCAGAATTAATATGGTAATTTGTGCAAATTGCTCAGCATAGTCTACACCTGTTACTGGTCACGTTACTGCTGATTAAATTTCTCCTATGGTTCCTCAATGTCTTCCTAAGACCCAATATCCTTAATATGGCCAGAAAAGTGCCTGCATTTTAGCCCCTGTATAAATAACTCTCCACCTTTAGCTCCTACCATTTTGCCTTCCATGTCTCTTCACTGTAACCATACCAAATTATTTGCTCTTCTTTAATTTTTCATGCTGTCTCAGGCCTTAGTACTCTTGCTATTTCTTTACTTCTCCCCTTTCAAGAATGAGCCCTCATTTCTCACCCTCCAGGAACCTTTCATGAACCATTTGTGCTGAACTAGGGCCACTTCTCTATGCCTCATATCACCTTTTACCTAACTCTATGGTAGTACATGTCATACAATATTGCATTTTTCATTTTCCTTTCACAAATCTAAACTATAAATTATGTGAAGGCAATAGCTCTTATTATTATTTTTATCCCCAGGACTTCACTCAGAGAATGGCACACATGTGTCCTCTACATTTTTTGCCAAAAGAATGAATATTGCACTGGGTCATTGGTGAGTATAGGACTTTTCAGCTAAGGAATTTCAAAGTATTTTCTTTTATATAACATCTAAAAGTATGAGTTGAAATTTAGAATTAAAATCAAATCAAATTTACATCAGACCTTATTGTTTTCTTATGAACTGGATTGCCTTGTCTAGAAGTGCCAGATGAACACAAACGACTTATTTAGCTTTAGGCCTATGAGTTTGTCTGAGAGTGTATTTCTAACTCAATGAAATAATATTCAAAATGTCATACTTTTGAGAAGTTAGGTTAATTTCTTCCTATGTAAAATAAAGTAAGAGAACTGGGTGCAGGGAGGAAATAGATATAGCTGTGATAGGACAATGATGAGACTTTTCCCTAGAGCAAACTTGCCTTGAGTTGCATCCTCGGCTTTGTACCTAGCCTAAGTCTTGACATGTGGTCAGAAAAAATAGTCAACAGAACATAGCAGGTACACTTCTTTGGGTATTTTAATATTGCTTTTTATTATGGAGCTATGCTTTGTGATAATTACACTCTTGTCCCAATAATTTCTAGCTTGAAAAGACAATAGTCTCCAGCAGAATTATAAATAACTATCACTGATATTAAACATCCAGGCCATAAGTATTCTTTTTACTCATTAGTTTACTCTCCCAACACTGTGTTCCCTCATAATTAAACAAGTCAGTGCTTTTTTCACTCTTTCGTTTGATACAGTTGTACAAAAGAATTTCTTATGGATCAGTATTGTTCATCAGCATAAAAATAACAAACAAAACATTTGCTCCATCACAGAATTTGAAACCCAAGTAGCTTCACTTTGAGGAAGTGATAAACTAGAGAAAAAATGTAGCCTAATTAGTGGTCTTACCATTAGCATTATTAATAATTCAAATGAAAGGACTTGGCAAGATAATGGAGCAATTAAGAGTACAGACCACCTCCCTAAAATATTAGCTTAGTTTCTTACCAGTTGCATGAATCTAAACAAATGGCTCAATTTCTCTAGGCTTTTGTTTTCTCACAAGTTAATTTAGGAAAGTAATACTTGTCTCTTTGAAGGGTGAAAAGTTTAAATGAGATAATACATGTAAATACTTCACATCATTTCTGGTATTTTTAGAGGCTCAATAAATGGTAGCGATTATTGCCATTATTCATAAAGAATTTTATAACAAATTCTCTATTTTTGAATTCTTATCAATGATGACTAGATAGACATTTTTCTAATCAGGAACATTGCAAGAGCCACCCATATACAAAGAGAGCAGCAAGATGAATATTAAAGCCCCAAAAAAGAATTCAGTGGTGGAGGTGGGCTTAGAATGAGTAAGACATTTCAACACATACGTTATGTGATGTTGAAATACCTCAGTCCCTCATCTCCCATTTTGGTTGTCAGTGAGTTGGGGCTATGGAACTAATTTGAATTTCTAATTAAGCCCATGCATCTACATTTAAACTTATAATGTGCATTTCAATGGTGTACCTGAGATAAGCCAAAGCTGCAAAATATTGAAATAACTCCTAAAATCATTTTCTCATGGCTTTATTCTCTCCCAAGTTTTCACTAGCCTCATATTATGATGCCAACACTGAAGACCATTTAGGCTAACCACCTACTGAGAATCTGTGTTATAGTGTAAGTGATGAATTCTGCATGAAGAGACATATTGGGGTCATATTACATGGGTAACAGTAAAACTTTAACTGATATGGCCGTATGACCATTTGCATGAACAGAATCCTGTTTGATAAGATTAATAAAATTTTGGGACATTAGATTTTTAACTATCAGGATATTAGATTTTCACTATTGGAATGGTACTAAATGAACATCTTACTCTATACCTTGTGTGAAACTTACTTTCATCTCCTGTTTCAAATTCAAACTTCTGACTGTAGCCACTATATCCTGTTGTAGTCCTCACTCGGATATGGAATATGTACTTGGTGGCTGGCTTGAGACCTGTAATGATGACACTGGGGGCCTTGGACCTCGTGGAGGAATAGGTGAGCTGCTCATGCTCCTAGGGACAGAAAAGAAGAAAATGCAAATGATGCAGTTATTCTAATTTTTCCTAGATGCATACAAAGTTAAGCTGTGGAATTATGCCCAGAATATCAAAAGTGTTGATTAATAAGAGGTATAATTACAGTTTTCCATAATTTAGCACTTAGTTATTTATCATTAGGATACATATGATATGGTCTTGATTTGGAAATTTATTAAGAAGGATGATTACTCTTATATAAACTTCACTTGTGTTCTCAGTGATTTGGATTTTTGACCCAACTCTGAGGCATGGTGGTGTGAGAGCATGTTTACACAGAATGGCAGCTGCATCTTGAGCAAACTGGGCACATCAGACCAGACCACACCAGCAGAGAGCCAGGAGCGAGGGTGGGAGAAGTTAAGTACTCGCTACTCACTTCTACCCGCAGGTAGTGCCAAAATGCCGGCGCTATCCGTGGGTAGACCTGTGGGTGAAAGGAAACATAAATTAATTGCTTTTTAAAGTTCAAAATTTTTTATCCCAAATCAATTGCTTGGTCCTGAAACTCAGTGATTCCCCAGTACTAACAACTCAAGTTGAGTCAACTGAAAACATGAAACCATAAACATGTGAGAGCGAATTGACTCCTGTCCCAGACACCACAGTTTATTTTTAAAGATGTACAAGTTACATAGTGATTGTAAGATAGATTTAAATATAGTGTGCTCCTGAAGGAGCATCGAAGACGTAGGAAGGTATGAAAGGTTTACCACACTTTTGGAATCATAGGCAGGCCTGGAGGCTTGGTTTCCAGTCACCTGCAGTTAACTGCCAAACTACATCTCCTCACTAACAGCAGATTGACTTGCTGCAGCTGACTAAGTGATCTAACCTGTCAGGGTTTTTTAAAATGACTCCCACCTAAGAGCAGGGTATTTAATTTGACCTGTGCATATAAGTGACTAAACAATATGCTGCTGGTGAGACAAATTAAACTTTAAACTGTTTTTGTATATAATAAAAGCCTAATATGCTAAGTGTCCAGTCATCCATTCAACCAATCAAAGCTTAATATGCTAATGATATGCTAAGGCTGCTCAACTGTTCACTATGATATGCACTGACCACCAGGGGGCAGATGCTCTGACCAGTAGGTTAGCTTGCTGCTGCAGGACTGAGCAAGACGGGCCGGACATGCCCTGGAGCCCTCTCCCAGTCCCTCCCTGGTTGGCCAACCTGCCGCATCCCTCCCCGGTCCCAATTGTGCACCAGTGGAGTCCCCTGGCCTGGCCTGCACCCTCTCGCAATCTGGGACCCCTCGGGGGATGTTGGAGAGCTGGTTTTGGCCCGACCCCGCAGGCCAGGCCAAGGGACCCCACTGGTGCACAAATTCATGCACCCGGCCTCTAGTTATTTAATAACTTTATAATTATACTAGAGGCCCAGTGCATGAAATTCATAAACTTGGGGGGGGGTTTGTCCCTCAGTCCAGCATGCACCCTATCCAATGTGGGACCCCTCGGACATCCCTCTCACAATCTGGGACAGCTGGCTCCCAACCGCTCGCCTGCCTGCCTGCCTGATTGCCCCTAACTGCTTCTGCCTGCCAGCCTGATCACCCCCAACCACTCCCTTGCCAGCCTGATCGACACCTAACTGCTCCCCTGCTGGCCCTATTGCCCCCAACTGCCCTCCCCTACCAGCCATCTTTGGCTGTGGGCGCCACCATCTTTGAGGGTGGGACAGTTAATTAGCATATTCCCTCCTTATTGGCTGTGGGTGCTGCCATCTTTGTGACAGTGTGAAGGTCAATTAGCATATTCCCTCTTTATTAGATAGGATTTTATAATGTGTCTGAAAAAAGTAGTATTTGTATGAAAAACTCTTTGCAATTCATAGGTCAAATTAGGCCACAGATCCTTAAGTTAATTAGGCACTATTTTTATGATTAATATGAAGATAGAAGTTTTCTCAGGGATGGAAGTGACTTTCAAGGTCATTAACTGAAGCACTCATTCGATGCTTAAATTCTATCTATAATATACCCATCAAAATTTAGCCTTTTTCTGAAAATCTCTTGTTCAGATCTTCCAAACTAACAAATGAAGTTATAAAAATCTACACACATGTAAAATGTATCAAACTGCATTTTTATTTGCTTGTGATGCTTTAAGATTTAGAACTATGAAATTTCTTTACCTTAAGCTACTTTTGAGAGAAAAAAAATCCTCATCTTAAAGATCATTTAAAATTTTTATGGCTTTATTTGTCAGAATCTTATATGCCACATGGTTATTCTGTGTCTAGCTGAGGAATTGAATTTGCCCTATACCCCCAATAATAGATCTGTTTATTAAACATGAAGTACAAAGAAAATATGAGTTAATAACAGCAAATTTTAAACAAAAAGACAAAACAGACAAATGTCAACTTATCTCTAGGTAGTTTTGAGATTAGAAAGTAAATAAATATCCACCTAACATAAAATCCAAGGAAATAAAATCTATAAAAACATTGATGGTAGCAATCATCTGCTAAGGCAGTGGTCAGCAAACTCATTAGTCAACAGAGCCAAATATCAACAGTACAACGACTGAAATTTCTTTTGAGAGCCAAATTTTTTAAACTTAAACTATATAGGTAGGTACATTGTTAATAACATAATTAGGGTACTCCTAAGGCTTAGGAAGAGCCACACTCAAGGGGCCCAAGAGCCGCATGTGGCTCGTGAGCCGCAGTTTGCCGATCACGGGGCTTACAGAAGGATTTTCTAAAATCAAGGCCTTTATAACTTGGGGTATAAAACCCATATTGCTGAAAAAAATGTGTACTAGTAGAAGAGAATATAATTTCTGGTTTAATTTTCAAAACGTTTTGGATTTTTTCAGTCTCACATACAAGAAGAAAAGATTCCACCGATCACAAAATTTTCTGCAACATAAGAGTTATGGTGTATTTTGAAGTGATGACTGAGAGAAGAATTTTAAAGCATGGAAAAAAGAATTTAGTCTTATCCTCATAGAGAGAAGAGAAGATACAAAAGCAAAAATTTGCTCTTGGAATGGCCCCATAATGATCTGTTATGTCTTTGTCGCTTCACCAAAACATAGGGGAATAGTAATTTCTTACTTAGTAAAGTTTCAGGGAGTAAAGGACACCTTTTGCAAACAGCTTTTTGCATTCCTGCTGTTAGATACAAAAGTGCATTTGTAGGTACATCCCAGGAATAAAAATCCTCAGGTAGGAAGTGTGCCTATCTGGTTCCTCAGCCTAAATCACAGTAGTGTGGTGGCTGCTGCCTTGTCTTACCTCTTGCTATCGCTGAGCATGCTGAGGAGGGGGCTCAGAAAGCAGCAGGCACCAAAGTTTTTCCTCCCAGTGCATAGCTGCCCTCTCTCCTCCTGGGGTTTCCAAGCTCCTGGGAAACCAAATTAGCACTTACCCATGACAAGCACAGGCACTATTGTCCCAGGATTTTGGCTAATTGACTTGTTGCTGACACATCAACTCCAGTTCAATGTAACTGTTACCAGGCAGACACTATGCTTTGCCACAGAGCCACCCAGATCTCTTTATTCATCCTGGCAGGCTGAATTCAGAACATGCTTGCACAGGGTGTGTGAGTCTTTCTGGAGTTTGCCGTGATGGAATTGCTAGTTGTATGGCACGTGCAACTTCAACTTTGCTAGGTAATACATTTTACTGTTCATAAAACTCTCTTATATGTTTTTCATGTTTGTTAAATCCATAGTAAAATCCTCTGCTCAGTCTTAATATTATTTCTTTTTGTATTTTTTTTCTTTGTCAAGCTTTCTAGAGGTTTGAATCAACTTTTGGCTTTGTTTAGCTCTCTGATTATTTCTCTATTTTCTACTACTTTTAATATCTGTTCTTACTATAAATTATTTTCTTCTTTCTATTTCCCTTTTGTTAATTATGCTGTCTTCTAACTTCTTGTGTTTCACGCTTAACTCATTAGTTTTCAGTACAGTGGACCCTTGAACAACATGAGTTTGAACAGGACAGGACCTCTTATACTTGGATGTTTTCAATAAATATACAGTCAGCCTTCATATCCTGGTTTTTGCAACTATGGGTTAAACCAAACATGGATTGAAAATAGTATTTTTGATCTGTGGTTTGGGATCCTTGGAGTTAGGGGGCCTACAGAATACATTGTTCTCTAGCATTCTAAATAAAGGACTTTGAGCAACTGCGGATTTTGGTATGTATGAGATCCTGGAACCAGTCACCCCTGGATACCAAGGAATGACTATAATTAAGTTTTTGGAGAGTCAAATACGCGAATTTTCTACTGCACAAGGGTCAGCATCTCAAAATCCCACCTTGTTTAAGGGTCAAATGTATGCATTTTCAAAAACATAATATAAATCTACAAATTCAAAATACTGCACTACTTATACTCCATTAAGTTTTTATATATTATTAATATTATTAATAATTTCTAAGAATTTATTTATTTCCAAAAATCTATGATATTTAATTTTTTTGTGGCAGACCCAGGATTATTATTTGCACAGGTTTATGAGTCAAGGCAGGTTGTCAAGCAGTAAGTAAATGGCATAAAGTGACGCTCCAAAGGCATAACCTCGTGGGTTGCAAAACATACTAGCCTGTGGGTAGAACAGTGGGTGCTCATTCCTGAGAGCACTGCTGGTCTTCTGCATTAATGCGTGTTGAAAGTGAAATAGCTTGTATTACCTCTCCTTGGATAACACAGATCATAACACTAATTATGGATAAAAAAATTTAGTAACAATGCACTTTAATATACTGTTATCTATATTATTTCCTAAAATAAATACATATACAATTCCTATAGATGAATCCACGTATATTAAAAAATAGTTGAGAAGCTAACAGTATGAACATAGGGCATTGTTAAGTAGGAGACGACACATGTATTGTTGTCTAGAGATGTTCACCTTTTCTTATGGTTCTCTTCCTGGGGGCAGATTCTGCAGTTTAATTTCTTTGCTCCTTCCCAGCTGATAGAAATCGAGGCTTTTCTG